GTTAAATATTAAGAGTCCAATGATGTTCCAGAGATGAGATAAAAGAGTGGCTGTTTAGTATGAGTCATTGCATTTCGTGTTTTTGAGATAACCCTGTATTTACTACTTTGTGATGAGGAATAGCTGCAAGGAGGAAAACCAATTATGAGTTCCAGTAGCCCTTGGCTATCAGTTAGTTTGTGTATCTCAGATGGAAAACTTTGCACATTAGTGTTATGTTGGTTGATTCAGTAACATAATGCTTTTTATTCTCATATAGCTTACTTTTCAAAGGTGGGTTGCTCCTTACCAGTGGGTGCATCACCAGAGGTGACACATGTTGTGCATCTCATGGCTTCTTGTCCCAGGCCCTGGAGCTGGGTAAACAATGGGAGAAATACAGTATTTGATTATATACATGGAATAACCCCTATCACAGCTCACTTTCCTGTGACCATTAGTACACCCAGTTAGATGTTTTGGAAGAAGACCTTTTGTTACAGCTCAGACTGTCAAGTAAAAGGTCCCCTCTACACAAAAATGTTTGCCAGGCTCCTGTTCCAGAAGCTTCTCAGGCACTTCTGGAGTGAGCTGGCTGGACCACAACTGAGAGGACATGGGGTCTGATCATATGCTCTTGTTGCTGCCTTCTCACTGCTTTGGGCATTTGAATACCCTGGGAGTTGGCTGAACTTGCAAAAATGACAGAAAAAAAAAGCAAAAAAAAGCCAAGAAAAAAACCAAGGAAAAAAAAGAAAAGGAAAAAGCAGCGAAAGGGAGAGTAACTGTTTAAAGGCATAATGAGTTGAAGAGCTCTGTGTTGCTGTGCCAGAAATTTTGCAAGGATGAAGCAAAGGGACCGTGGGGGGAAGAACATCAGCAAAGGGAAGGGCTATGAGGTGTTCTCTCCCGAGGAGCTGTTCATCTTACTCAGCTGTTTTGTGAACCTGCACCCTTGGTGTGGGGAGATGAAGGCTGGTGAGCAGGACCTATACTTGCTTATCATTATAGGATTCTTATATGTAACCCACAGATTCATTAACTCATTTTTTGTTCAGGCTTTTCCAAGCTTTCCTGGTTATTTAAACTAATTATGCCACAATTTCTTTTTGTGAGGGCTGAAAAAGGCAATGACTGTTGCAGGTTTTTGTCTGTAATCTCTTATTTGTTCTTCCCTGGTAAGTAATAATCTCTACTTCTTCTTGCTTTTATTTCACTTCAATAGTGTCTAGAAAATCAAAACAGGTCTGCAGTCTGACTGTTAGTGTAGCTGGTGCTCTGCTTTTATGCAGAGCAGCAGAACATAGGTGTGAGTGTTTTGCTCTTTTGTAGCAAAAGAAAAATCTTCCTTTTGTATCTAACTTTTCTTTTCCTTTTTTTTTTTTTTCAAGGAGAGAAATGCCATAGGAAAAAGTCCCATCCAACTCTGGAGAAATGTAGAAGTCTGATGATTTTGTAAAGGTGATTTATATTTAAAAAGGGTAGGCAGTGCAATCAAGGTATGTATCTATTGATGGAAAGTTAGGGATCTGATCAGAGAGTCTGAATAATTTGCAAAACATAAACATGATGTCTTGGTCAGTACAGTTTATTTGTAAGAATAAAAAAACCAAAATTTGCAGCAGGCTACAGGAGGAATGAATAACACAAAAATACCAAATATCTCGTTTGTCACAACTGACCCTCCTTGTGTGGGGAAAAAAGGCTTCTTGTGAACATTTCAGCAACTCCAAATGATGATACTTTAAGAACAAATCTGTTTACCTCATTTGTCCCTTTTTTCCATTTCCTCCTGTATACAAGATGACATCTGAAGTGATTGGACAAGTGGATGAATATTAAAAATATAATTA